GCCTTGGAAACTCAAGGAGGGGTTGCTATGAGTCCAGTCCGACTCGACGGCACATAACGACAACAACAACAACAAATATTTTCAAAAGGAGCTCTGGTAGCATAGTGCCTAAGGCACTTGACTGCTAACCAGAAGGCTGGTGGTTTGGTACCACCTTGAAAACCCAAGGAGGGGTTGCTATGAGTCAGGTCCAACTCAAGGGCACATAACAACAACAACATTTTCAAAAATTTTCTATGTGCCAAGCACTACTTATGAGCACTTTATTTTTATTTACAAAACACTTTTAAGTACATACTCTATACCAGGCACTGTTCTATGTTTTTTAATAAATATTAACTCTTTAATCCTCACAAATTTAGGAAGTAAGTATTAAGTATACGCAGATTTTGTAGACTAGGAAATTGAGACACAAAAGGATGAAATAATTTGTCTAAAGTCACAGCATTGGATAGTGGCAGAGTCAGGATTAGAATCCAGGATGTCTCACTTTAGAACCCCTGCTGCCAACCACTGCACTAATTTACTTTTCCAATAATGGCTGCAAAGGTGCTGTCTAGGAGACAATAGACGTGGGGAGACAATAGATGTGGGGAGAAGAATTGACATTCTTCATGGAATGTCAATTTTCACTCTGTCTTATATCTTCGATTTTTTTCTGCTGGCTCTTTCCCTTGAAAATAAAAACAAATCAAGTCTAAGTTTCTTAGTGTATATTTGTGTATGAGCCCTGATAGTTTAGTGGTTAAGGCATTGGCTGGTAACCAGAAGTTTGGTGGTTTGAATCTACCAGCTGCTCCATGGAAGAAAGATGGGGGAGTCTGCTTCCGTATAGCTTTACAGCCTTGGAAACCCAATGGGGTCACTATTAGTCAGCATCAACTTGATGGTGGTGAGTTTGGTTTGTTTCTTTGTGTTCCTAGCTTCCCTCTTTGCTGCAGCCACAATTATTCTCTTATTGCCATCCTTTCAAACCTTTCAAAAGAGCAATTGCTACACATGGTCTCTATTTCTTCCCGTTTGCTCCTCTGCCAA